AGCATACCAAATGCATTCTTCGCTATCTTGTCTACCTGCAACTCCCCTTTCAAAGCACTATGAACTTGCATTCCAAGGTCTCTTTGTTTGGCAACACTCCCCAGGACCTTACCATTAAGGTGTTTTTGCAAACTTCATGGTCATGGCCTAGCCCACATGAATATGCTTTCCCACATTCTTACATCATCCAAACCCAAGTGACAAAAGAAATCAGAGGAATGCTGCCAGTTACAATCAAGTGATCTGGTGCCAATCTTGTATACTCTCCTCAAAAGTTGGATCTTTTCCAGAGGCATTCTGACATGCGACATATTTCCAAATAAGGATGTAATTGCTGGAATAATATATAAAAGTTAATGAGATTGGCACAGAAAGAGAGAGATGCATGGAAGTTTCATTGTGAAGATTCCAGATTGTCCTCTCTGGTTTGCCCTTCACTTGGTAGGAGGCAGTGATAATGCCATTAGACTAGTGATTTCAGACGCCCAGGGTAATGCTCTGGGACATGGGTTCAAATCCCATTACTGTAGATGCTAAAATTGATTAAATCTGGAATTGGAAGCCACTCTCAGTGGAAACTATCATTGATTATTATAAAAACAACACAATTGGGAGTTGCTCAAAGCAGGGGAACAGATAAGTGTTTTTTTTTGAAAATCTATCAGTCAGTGCATTGACTATATGAGTTGGGAGGTCATGTTGCAGCTGTACAGGACATTGGTTAGGCCACTTTTGAAATCCTGTGTTCAATTCTGGTCTCCTTGTTATGGGAAACATGTTGAGAAACTTGAAAGGGTACAGAAAAGATTTACCAGGGTTGGAGGGTTTGAGTTATAGGGAGAGGCTGAATAGGTTGGTGCTATTTTCCCTGGGGCATTGGAGGCCAAGGGGTGGCTTTTGTAGAAGTTTACAAAACCATGGGGGGCATGGATAGGGTGAATAGTCAAGGTCTTTCCCCTAGGGTGGGGAGTCTAAAACTAGAGCGCATAGGTTTAAGGCGAGAGGGGAAAATTTAAAAGGGATCTGAGGGGTAGGCTTTACACACAGAGGGTGGTGTGTGTATGGAATGAGCTGCCAAAGAAAGTGGAGGCAGCTGGTACAATTACAACATTTAAAAGGCATCTGGATAGGTACATGAACAGGAAGGGTTCAGAGGGATATGGGCCAAATGCTGGCAAATGAGAGTAGATTAATTTAGGATATCTGGTCAGCATAGACAAGTTGAACCAAAGGGTCTGTTTCCATGCTGTATATCTCTATGACTCTATTTGATTCATGAATGCTCTTTAGGGAATGAATTCTCTCTAACGTAAGCTTATCCAAGTAACATGTGTCTCCAGATGCAGACTGTTAACTGTCCTCTGAAATGAGCCAACAGGGCCATTTGGAATGGGCATTAAATGCTGCTGCCCACAACCCAGAAAAAGTGCCAAGATTATACCTCAGTCATAGCAAATCTTGCACACGAATAGGCATCATTGCTACTGCTTCGCCAAGCTTACAGTAAGTGAATTAAAATAGGTGCAAAACTACTGAGCTACATGCAGTGACCTTCAGAGTGAATTTACAGCTTATGGCTGCATACAGTAAACATTTCCTTCCCTCCTTGTGAGCAGTGTGTTGTTGACACTTGTAGGTTGTTGTTCCAAGGGTTTGGAAAGAGGATGAATGGTCGATTACCATCATTGATTCTTTGAGTGTTAATTACTCCCTGAACTGATCTGTCCATGTAGATTGAGTGTTTACAGCCTACAGGGTTCATTGTGTCCAGATAAGTCCTGGAGGTGTGCCAAAGCCTTTTCGAACAGACTGATAAAATCATTTTACAATGCTGTTTATGGGGACTTGCTGCATATGCTGGCAAGTGAACTTTCTACATTACAGCAATATGCTTCAAAACTATTTCCTTGGCTGTAATGCGTTTTGGCACCTTACAAAGCTGTGAAAGAAGCCATAGAAATACAGTCTTTTATTTCCATAACCCTTAACGTGGCTCAGTTCGGATTGCCGAATCTTTGACCCGCAAAAGAAGAGCCACATTCCAACTTGTATCTCCAAGTAATAACGGAGTCAGTAATAACGGGGTTAGTGCTGCTCTAATTGCAGAAGAATATCAGGAGGACTTATAAGAATCAAAAATGGTGCCGGGGGATCTATTCAGTAATCATTCCTGCCTTCCTCAGTTCTGAGTAAGGGTCACCGGACCCGAAACGTTAACTCTGTTTTCTCCTCCACAGATGCTGCCAGACCTGCTGAGCTTTTCCAGCAAATTTGTTTTTGTTCCTGATTTACAGCATCCGCAGTTCTTTTGGTTTTTATTTATGGAGTCAGTCAGGCCCAGGCTGCAGACCTAAGGCGGCCCACAGAGTTGAATCACAGATACAAGGAGAAAAAGCTTGAAAGGAAGCTAACAGGAGGGATGGTTTGAGACGCGCAATCTATTGCGAGTTCATGTCCACACCTATCATGGAAACTGTCTCAGTAACAAGTCACACTGCAATAATGCCCTCCAGCCAGAGGCATCGCTACACCGACAGCGATAGATGCTAGATACTAATAACATCAAGAGATTAGGGAATAGTGTGGGTGGGTGTGAGGAATGGATCCTGGATGTCATCAAGGGTATTGTCAAGAGTGTGGCAAAAGCTGAAAGACCTCACAGGTCAGTAACTATTCCTGTAGATTTCATTAAGGTTCTAAACTCCTCTGGCACCAATGGCAATTCTCAATTTAAGGCTCTTTTTAAGAACAAATGTTCTTCAGGACAGTTAACATGATTATCCCCAATGTGAAACAAGCAATTGCGCTCGATCTACGCCTAAAAAGCTGAAACTATAAACAGACACACACACGCACTGCTGAGATCAAATGCTCAACACTTAACATGTACCACTTACTTGCTCATGCCAAATGTTGCATTGATGGTTTGGCTCCCATATTTGATTTGTGACAAACAGGTGGAGACTGATAAACATCTAACTTCGACATAGGGAGGAACAAGACTTCTGCTGGTGGGGTTAGTGCTGCTCTAATTGCAGAAGAGTATCAGGAGGAGTTATAAGAATCAAAAATGGTGCCGGAGGAACTATTCAGTAATCATTCCTGCCTTGTTCCCCCAGTGCCCAAGATCAGAGATGAATGTGCTGATGGAGAAAATTGAGATGCTGAGTAAAATGATCTTGTGCTACGGCTGCATTAAAAGCTTCTGTACTCGCAGGGGATGTGAAAGTGAAAGACGCATCGGGATTTGGGCAGACAGAGCAATCAGTCAACTGACCCCACTTTAGGTCCAGGTTTTGGGTGATTCATGTTTCAATTCTGTTCAGCACACTGTGTGGTTCTAGAGTGTTCCGAGAGTGAGGCGAAGACAGATTCAATCGTGTCTTTCAAAAGCGTATCAGGATTTCCTGAAGAAAGAACATTGCAGGGCTGTGGGGAAGAGGACTCCAAGTAGCTCTTGCAGGGGGCTAGCAAAAAGTTGAAGGCCCAAATGGCCTCTTGCACTGAAAGCCTTCTACAATTCCATTTTATAATTAAAGGTTAAACTCTCGAATGGGAAGCATCATTGATCTAATTAGAAAAAGGGACAATTCCAATTGTTTTGTGATCCTATCGGGACGCTTTGACTTAAATCATTTGGAATAAAGGAGGGGCAAAGTTAGATAAAATGTTCAGAATTATTCAAACTTATAGCATATCGACATCACTCAGGAATTCTAAATAAAAACATAAAGAACTGCAAATGCTGTAAATCAGAAACAAAGACAAACTGCTGGAAAAGTTCAACGGGTCTGGCAGCATCTATGGAGAGAAATCAGAGTTAATGTTTCGGATCCAATAAGGAAGGGTCACTCGACCTGGCACGTTAACTCTGCTTTCTCTCCACAGATGCAGCCAGACCTGCTGAACTTTTCCAACAATTTCTGTTTTTGACTCAGGAATTCTGAATAGTTTCACCTAGGAATTACTGGTATCGGCTCACAAGCCATCATGTAGAAAGTGAGAATCCAGAAAACAGAGATGAATGATAGTACTGGTAAGGGGAAATCATGCTAGCCATTGTAGTACAACTCTCTGCTCTTCTCTGAGCCAACCCAGTCAAAAAATCCTAACAGGGTCTTAAAAAAAAAATTGAAATGTCCCTTCTTCTAATTTGGTCAACGTTGTTACACTTGCTTGGCACCTAGTGCAAGAGATCAAATCATTTGAAGACAGAAACAAATAAGGGACACTGGAAAAACTCAGCAGGTCTGTCAGCACCTGTGGAGAGAGAAACAGGTGACGATGAGTCTGAAGCATTAACTATGTTTCAATCTACCGTGAATCCATTGCCGATTGTAGGCAAAACCCATCTGGTTCACTAATATCCTTTATGTGACTCCAGACTCATAACTTTGTGGCTGACTCTCAACTACCCTCTGGGCAATAAGCGATGGACAATAAATGCTGCCTGGCCAGTGACGCCCTCATCCCATGAACGAATAAAGATGCTGCCAAAACTGCTGAGTTCCTCAAGCATCGTGTTCGAGATTTCCAGCATCTGCAAGTATTTTGCTTTTACTTGAAAAGACAGCTATTCTTGTGCGGTGCACAGCTGATTCGTCCAAGTCAATTTCTTTTTCTTTTGCATAAATACACATGCTTGGTGATGAAGGAGTCGATTTATGCTCAACCTACAAACGTTCAGGTTGCTGAACAGTTTAGAGGCAGTCTTGCCCTCAATGAGAACACTGTGAACTGAGTCACATCAAGAGGGAGTAAGTGAAGGATAGACAGAGAGAACAAGGGGGCAAGATTGAGGTTGAGATCTTGAGCAGTAGTTTCCCATTTTGATCAGCGCTTTACAACAGTTCACTGCAGCAGAAACAAAATTCAGACTCACACTCACACTAAACACACAGACACTCACACTAAACACACAGACACTCACACTAAACACACAGACACTCACACACACACTAAACACAGCATGAAACACAACAGAGACGGAAAACTGCATGTAAAAGTATTTTCTAATCTGTAATTAGAAAATGTAAAAACCTTAAGTTCACCCTCTTGACACAGTTTTGAAAAACACTCTTTAAACAGTAAATCTTGTTGTAAAGTAGCTACTCAAGAAAATAAGTTGCTGCATTCTCAAAAAAAATACTGTATCGTGTTACAAAAAATTACAATATAAATATCCTTAAACAAAACCAGGCAAAGCCATTCAGTAGTCACTTCATCCATCCATACTGATAATGAAGCTGCATTCCAGACATGGGCTCAAACACAACTTCTCCAGGACACTTCCTGCAATGAGCTGCTGGGAAACTGAATTTGGGGAAACCTTTCCACTTTAGTTGAGACTTCTATAAGGGCATGGATTAATCTCACATTTTCAAACCAATTGTCCATGCACTCGCCTGTCCTTTCAGGCCAGTTAGGTTAGTGTAAATCTCTAATGCCAGGATGTGAAAGGGCCTGCCCTTGTTGGACTACAAGTCTCTGGGAATTTTGGTCTGGTTTCTCCCAAGCCCCTAATGCTGGAAATGGGGGTTGTCAGTGTTGAATGGTGAATTCTGGCCACTGGGCTGTTCCCTTGCATGGAGGGATAACTGAATTAGAACAGACTGATCTGAGGAGACGTCACACCTGCCAAGGACTGCTCAGCCTTCCACTGAAGAGGAGGCCAAATATAAAAGGTGCTCTCAAAAGGGGCATCAAGAACCTTACATTAACCTTTTACTCAAGCACTGCTGGTGTGAAGGTTACAGGTTAACTGCAGTTCTGGCTGGAAGGAGAATTGGCATCATTGTATGTAGCTATAATATAAAGCTCATAGGAATTCCTTGATGAACAACCTCCAAAGTTACACTTTGTGTGGCCATCCCCCACTCTCTGAACAAGCAGCCTTTTGAGTTTTTAGACACACCCCATCATTGCTATAAACACATTAGTATGCAAAGTAAACCGGACTAAATGGATATAGATTCTTTCAGCTAATTCTTCTGACCTGCTTACAAAAAGTGCATTAGTAACTCCTTATACTTGGCAAGATTATTCTGAGGAAAACTGGTCTTTTAACGTTTTACAACTTCTTTTTCCTGTTTGAGATGAAACAATGCCAAAGGAACAAATGATCTGAACCAAGAGGCAGGAAATTGCAGCATCACAATATTCACATGGGGGGCTTCCGCAAGGTGCATCTGTCCCTGGTGGACAGGTACCACCCACAGATAGGTGTCACCTAATTTGCCCCAATTCACAGTGTCTAGTCAGTGTCCTCCTTTTCGAAATGAGGATGCTTAATGCTTTGTGACATACACAGTGTCCACTACTTTGTGCATTCTATTGCCCACATTTATCTTGCCTGATGTGATCCCAGGGTGTTAGGAGAGACTGCAATTCCAGAAGTCTGCATTATCAACTATGACTATGCACACATCCCCCATTTTCTTTCCCCTTAAACTGACTGAACAGTAAAATAAACATGCACAACTTGTCTCCAACTCCAACGGGATGTGGAAAAGGCACTGAGCATACATATCACTCTCGCCCTGACAATATGCCAGCATTCTTTGCCAAGATGAAGGTCAGAAGATCATTTCACAGGTAGTGTCCCTCCCTCCCTCCCTTACCCTTCCCCCCCAACACACATTGAATCCTGGATGCATGCTCCATACTGGTAAAGCCACTATATCTAACAGTGTTTAAAATCAGCTCATGATCTGGAGGAAGTAATCGATTCCAGTGTAGATCCTCAGTTGTTCGGTGTACAAGCGACATTAAATCAACTCTTTAGCAGTCTCTTTAAGTTACATTTTACAAATCAAGTGAAAACGTCTTCGAGTTCAGTAGTATTCATATTCCTTTGTGGTTCTAACCCCCTTGAAAACAGTAGTGTCAAAGTTCAGAGTCAGAAGATCCAGTTGAAATAGGTGGTTGTTGAGTCAACAATTCGCCAGGGGTAGAAAGCAATATCTCTCAGGCCCACTAATCAGACAGGAAATTACCCTGTTCACGTAAATGCCAAATGATTTATTTATGAGATATACTTTTCAAAGTTTTAAATCATATTCTGTTTTTCTCCCGATGCTGCGATCAGCAACTTGCAAACTCTGCTCACTTCATCCGATTGGCTCTCATCAGTAGTACGATGCAGGACGGAAGCCCAGCCTTGCTCAGGAAGGGGTGTTTCAGTAATTCGGAAGCCACCGCCCTCTGGGTGGGGTCTCGTACCAACAGCCGGTCCAAAAAGCCTTTTAGCAAGGGAGAAACCTAAGAGAAAGGAAAATAGGGGCTTCAGAAATAAAAACATTCAGAGAATGGTTACGTACTGCCTACGTTACTGAATTGACAAGAGTCCTGAGGCCTGGAGCAATGACCCAGAAACAAAAGTTCAAATCCTTCCACCACAGCAGGGAAATTAAAATTCAGCCAGAGTGATTCAACATGGAAACAGACCCTTCGGTCCATTCTGACCAGATATCCTAAATTAATCTAGTCCCATTTGACAGCATTTGGCCCATATCCCTCTAAACCCTTCTTATTCATATACCCATCCAGATACCTTTTAAATGTTGTAATTGTACCAGCCTCCACCACTTCCTCTGGCAGCTCATTCCATACACACACCACCCTCTGCTTGAAAAAACTGCCCCTCAGGTCCCTTTTAAATCTTTCCCCTCTCACCTTAAACCTACGCCCTCCAGTTTTGGACTCCCCTATCCTGGGAAAAGGCCTTGTCCATTTACTCTATCCACACCCTTTATGATTTTATAAACCTTTATAAGGTCACTCCTCAGCATCTGATGCTCCAGCCTATTCAGCGTCTCACTGTAGCTCAAATCCCCCAACCCTGACAATATTCTTGTAAGTCTTTTCTGAACCCTTTCAAGTTTCACAGCACCCTTCCTATAGCAGGGAGACCAGATTTGCACACAGTACTCCAAAAGTGCCTAACCAATGTCCTGTACAACGACAACATGACCTCCCAACTTCTATATACCAATAAAGGCAAGCATACTATTTGCCTGCAACTTCACTTTCAAGGAACAATGAAGCTGCACTCCAAGGTCTCTTCGTTTAGAAACACCTCCCAGGATCCTACCATTAAGTGTATAAGTCCTGCCCTGATTTGCTTTTCCAAAATGCAGCACTTCACATTTATCGAAATTAAACTCCATCTGCCACTCCTCCATCTGGCCCATCTGATCAAGGTCCCGTTGTACTCAGAGGTAACCTTCTTCACTGGCCACTACACCACCAATTTTGCTGTCATCTGCAAAATTACTAACCATACCTCCTATGTTCACATTCAAATCATTTATATAAAATGACGAAAAGCAGTGGACCCAGCACCGATCCTTGGTCACAGGCCTCCAATTTGAAAAGCAACCCTCCACCACCACCCTCTGTCTTCTATCTTTGAGCCAGTTCTGTATCCAAATGGCTAGTATACCCTGTATTCCATGTGGTCTAACCTTGCTAACCAGTCTACTATGACGAACCTTGTCAAACACCTTACTGCAGTCCATATAGATCATATCCACCATTCAAAAAGCTCAATCAAGTTAAAGAGACATGATTTCCCACACACAAAGTCATATTGACTATCCCTAATCAGTCCTGGTCTTTCCAAATACACGTAAATCCTATCCCTCAGGATTGTCTCCAACAACGTCAGGCTCACCGGTCTATAGTTCCCTGGCTTTTCCTTACCACCTTCCTTAAATAGTGGCACCACATTAGCCAACCTCCAGTCTTCCAGCACCTCACCTGTGGCTATCGATGGTACAAATATCTCAGCAAGGGGCCCAGCAATCACTTCCCTAGCTTCCCACAGACTTCTGGAGTACAGCTGATCAGGTCCTGGGGTTTTATCCACCTTTGTGCGTTTTAAGACATTCAGCACCACCTCCTCTGTAATATGGACATTTTTCAAGATGTCATTATTTATTTCCTCATGTTCTACATCTTCCATATCCTTCTCCACAGTAAACACTGATGCAAAATACTCATTTAGTATCTCCCCCATCTCCTGCAGTCCCACACATAGGCAGCCTTGCTGATTTTTAAAAGGGCTCTATTCTCTCCCTCATTACCCTTTTGTCCTTAATGTATTTTCAAAATCCCTTTGGATTTTCCTTAACCCTATTTGCCAAAGCTCTCTCATGTCCCCTTTCTGCCCTCCTGATTTCCCTCTTATGTATACTCCTACTGGCTTTATACTCTAAGGATTCACTTGATCTCTGTTGTCTACACCTGACATATGCTTTTTTCTTTTGCTTGACCAAAGCTTCAATTTCTCTAGTCATCCAGCATTCCCTACACCTACCAGCCTTGCCCTTCATCCTAACAGGAACATACTGTCGCAGGACTCTCATTATCCCATTTTTGAAGGCTTCCCATTTTCCAGCCATCTCTTTACCTGCAAACATCCGCCCCAATTAACTTTTGAAAGTTCTTGCCTAATACCTGTCAAAATTGGCGCTCCTCCAAAATTAGAACTTTAATTTTTAGATCTGGTCTATCTTTTTCCATCATTATGTTAAAACTAATAGCATTATGGTCACGGTTTCGAAAGTGCTCCCCCACTGACACCTCAGTCACTTGCCCTGCCTTATTTCCCAACAGTAGGTCAAGTTTTGCACCTTCTCTAGTGGGTACATCCACATGCTGAATCAGAAAATGTTCTTGTACATACTTAAATTCCTTTCCATCCAAGCCTTTAACACTATGGCAGTCCTAGTCTAAGTTAAAATCCCTATTATTCTTACAAATAACTGAGATCTCCTTCCAAATTCTCAATTCCCCACTGACTATTGAGGGGGAATCTATAATACAATCCCAATAAAGGTGATCATCCCTTTCTTATTTCTCAGTTCCATCCAAATACCTTTCCTGGACACATTTCCAGGAATATCCTGCCTAAGTACAGCCGTAATGTTATCCTTAATCAAAAATGCCACTCCCCTCCTCTCTTGACACCCTTTCTATCCTTACTATAGCATCTATACCCTAGAACATTAAGCTGCCAGTCCTGACCATCCCTGAGCCATGTCTCTATAATTGTTATGATATCCCAGTGCATGTTCCCAACCAGGCCTGGAGTTCATCTGCCTTACCTGTTAGGCCTCCTGCACTAAAATAAATGCAGTTTAATTTATCAGCCCTACCTCACTCTCTGCTTTGTTCCTACCTGCATTAATTAATTCTGAAATAGAATTAATGGTGATTCTCTAAATACCATATCATCAGGAGGTCTTGTGTTGTGATAGTGTCCCTACCTTTCAGCCGGGAGGCCTGTTTTAAAGTCCCGCCTGCTCCAGAGGGTGTTAAGTGATATTTCTGAACAGGTTGAATAGAAAATACCTTAAAATATCAGATTGTTGTAAAAACCCATCTAGTTCGTTAATGCCTTTTAGAAAGGAAGGCTGCCTGCCTTACTTGGTCTAATCTACATATGACACCCTATATGCCAGACATCTCAGGAATTAGGAGAAGTAGGCCACTTAGTTCCTCTGACCCATTCTATCATTAATAAGATCAAACATGATCTTGCTAACAGCCTCAAATCTCACCTATTCCTGACAACCCTTGACTCCCTTGCTAGTCAAGAATGTATCTACCTTGGTCTTTACGTCAACACCTTGAACACAGTCACGGTTACTTAACAACCGACGGGAGAGGGAGGCTTAAGTCAGGATCGCAGTCCTATTGCAGGGCTCTGACCCAAATATTGACTGGAGTTTATTCCTAAACATTTTTTTGTCCCCTCCAAGCTAAGCTGCCCTTTAAAACCTAGATCTTTGACTAAGCTTGTTCTTATGTGGCTCAGCATCAAATTTTGTCTGATAAGAATGTTCCTTATAAAGTGCTTTGGGACGTTTTGTTACACTTAGGACACTAAGGCAGCCGTGAGAGAAGCAATGGCCACTGGGGAGGCAACAGCCTAGCGATATTATTACAAGACTACTAATGCAGAAATTCAGCAAATGTTTTGGGGACCTGGGTGGAATTTGAATTCAATAAAATAAAATCAGGAATTAAGAATAATGAAATAATTGTCATAAAAACCAATCTGGCTCACTAAAGACTTTTAGGGAATGAAACTGCCATCCTTAGCTGGTCTGGCCTACATGTGACGCCAGACCCATAGCAATGTGGTGGACTCTTAACTGCCCTCTGGGCAATTAGGGAAGGGAAATAAATGCTGCCTAGCCAGCGACACCCTCATCCCATGAATGAGTAAATAAACTACATACATGCAGACCCTTGAATGCATTCAGCCTTTGATAAGAAAGCAACCTAGAATTTCTAAACTTTGTATTTATTTACATTAATAAAGCCAAATTGACAAAATGTATTATTCTTGCAAAAGAACCCTTAATAAGTTGTATTTTTTTTTGTGGCAGCCAGACACATCCTTTCGCTGGAGTGAATGGATAAACTTGCTGAGCAGCATTCTCTTGCATGTTCGGGCGAGGGAGAATGCAACAAAGGCTAATTACGATCTGGCTCTGTATCTGTAACTAGCTGGATGGGGGCTCACAGTCAGCTGACTGAGTGAGGAGACACGAGCTTTGGAGCTAAAGCTGTGGCATCACTCTCAATTCCAGGGCAGATAAAACAAACACAAATTTCAAACTAAAAAGCAATGAAAGAGATTCGAATATAACACATCTTGACTTTTAAGTTTCAAAGAATTTAAAATGTACAAAAATGATCACTTCACGAAGACAAAAATTACCCCAGAATTGTCAGTCATTGGAGTTTAATAGATTGAGGGGAGATCTTACTGAAAGGGGAACCTGATAGGGCAGATGTAGAAAGATTGTTTTCCCTGTGGGAAAGTCCAAAACCAGAGGGCACAATCCCAGAATAAGGCATCACCCATTTAACACAGAGATGAAGAGAAAATCCTTCTGTCAGAAGGTGGTAAATTTGCAGAAATCTTTATTGCAGAGTGCTGTCAAGGCTGGGACATGCAGTATATTCTAGGCTGAGAGAAACAGATCTCTAAGGGAAATAAGTAAGGGAATAGAGGCTCACAGGGAAAAGGTAGGGAAGTGGAACTGAGGATTATCAGATCAGCCACAATCTCACTAAATGAAGAAGTGGCCTTGATGAACAAAATAGCTTCTGCTCCTATGTCTAACAATGTTAACTGTAGCAAATTCCTGTCACTGAAGCAGTAAAAACGAAGAACCTACTCTCTTAGGTGTTGCCAATGTCTGGATTCTCCCACTTCTCTAAGCGCACTCCATTTCTCACTGAGATGAAGAATATTTCTGCATTAATGCATTATACACCACATTACCTTTTGGCCATTCTTTAGTTTGGGTGGAAGATTGTCCCGTATCATTTTCATGGCTTTCAGAGGAGGTTCATTGAAATATGGAGGTTCCCCATCAACCATCTCAATTACCATGATACCCAAAGACCAGATATCCACCTGGAAACAAAGAGGGGGCAATGCATTACTCATATTCAGCAAAAAGATGAACAGCCCTTGAACGCTTTGCACTGTCCTTAATGGAGTTAACAAGGTGTCAAAAAAGAAACTACCAAAATCATTAAAAATATTTTCAGAATGAGACAAAAATCAGACAGGCAATAAAGACAGTTAACAAATATTTGTAGCGATTGTAATGAAATCAGCCAGGTGAACCTCTCAGAATATGGAGTTCCCTGATTGGGGCTATTAACCTGGTCCAATCAGGGAGCCCTGGCTGACAGACATAAACAGAGGTTCTGCTCACTCTGAGAAAGCCGGACCAGTGTTAAGAATCATGCACGTGTAAATAAAGGGTGACTCAGTGACGGCCTCTGTAGAGTTATTTCATATTAACTGAACATGATGATGTTTAAAACAAAACTTCTCTCTGCCATTTTCTCAATCCTGTAGCAGATTTAATTCTCTCTGAACCGATATTTACAACAGGAGGAGAGAGAAAATTCTTGTCAACTCTGATTAAACAAGTAGTTTAATCTGAGAACTGTTTAACTAGAGACTCAAAGCTTTAGACACAGCGCCCCGAGACTTCTGCATCGGTGTAGCAATACCCGAGGACTGGAGACTCTGGTTCTCCCTTGCTATCCTGAAAGTCCTGGCACAGATTTGGAAATGTCCATAATGCAACACAGCCTCAGTCAAGTGGCTGTTCCTCACAAGCAATTCTAGAAAGTCAGGGGCTATTTGACTGTGGATAGCATCACCAAACCAGTGCTCAGCCAACAATCTTCTGACTCTTTTCATAGGGGCACTGACGTTAAGTGCTCAAGTTATAATTAGTATAGCTCAGCCGACAGAAGAGGTCAAATCTGGGTGCTCTTGGCTTGTTCAGCTTACTGCTGTGGTTACGTGTTTCACTTTCTTACAGAGGCACAGCTGACTTGTTTCACAGCGCCGTGCTTACACAGGCAAGTTTAATTTTGTGTGAAAACGCAGAAAGTGAGTTATATTAATATGAATGCCAAACCAAATTGTAAAAGACATACTGACTCTCCGTCACCTCTCAATACAGAAATAAACCGATTGTTACCTCTGGTCCATATGGCAACCGAGAGATTAACTCAGGTGCCATCCAGTAAGGAGTGCCCACCAGTGACTTGCGCCTTGGTACATCTTTTGATACCTGGGCACAGAATCCAAAGTCTGAAAGCTTCACCTTTAAGAAAGGACAAAGTGAATGAAAAATAGGCTGCACAGACATGAACTCAGAGACAAAAACAGAAACTGCCAGAGAAACCCAGCATCTGTGGAGAGGAAGCAGTCTATGTTTTGGGTCCAGTAACCTTTCTTCAGAACTGGGGTCACTGGACCTCAAACATTGACTCTGCTTTCTCTCCAGATCTGCTGAGGTTGTCCAGTAATTTCTGCTTTTGTTTCAGATTTCCAGCATTTGTTTTTTGTTCATTGTATAACTCAGACTCTGCTTTCAAACATGATCAAGTTGCAAGTGACCTTGTTAGGGAGATGGGTGATTCCCTTCTGTAGAAAAGTCAATGCACTTTGTGTGCCCGCCAACATTTCAGATCAGATTATTACAGGATGGATTACACCCCCTGAAAGCCTCATGTTTCTTTTCAAAGCCTCCCACTTTTCCCAGTCTCACTCTCGTTTAGATATATTTGCTTCCATGACATCACCTACCAGTGAGTCTGATCCTGTGCTGACCTATCAGCAATGAATAGGAACATCCCAGTATGTGTCACTAGGCATCAACCAAACCCATGATGTACTGAATGCAGCCTTATCATCAAGAGCAGAGAGAGCTGCTAACCTGGGGCTGACTGGTGACTATGCTCACAGTACAGCTCAAGTTTAGAGGCCTACGTATTTACTCAGAATCACAGGGAGCCAGAGTCACATCTGGAGCCTACTGTGAGATGCCTACACGTTGACCAGCTTCCCTCTTCCTTATGAATGAGAACAACAGTAATTTATCACCAGGTGAACAGAAATGATTGTGGTATTGGATTAATGTGTTTTAAGATCAGAAACCATCTAATTAATAAATGTTATGGGACATTATGTTGAGGTTGTACAGGACGTTGGTGAGGCCTCTTCTGGAATACTGTACACAGTTCTGGTCTCCCTGTTATAGGAAGGATATTATTAAGCTGGAGAGGGTTCAGAAGAGATTTACCAGGATGTTGCCAGGAATGGAGGGTTTGAGTTACAACGAGAGGTTGGATAAGCTGGGAATTTTTTCCACTGGAGCATAGGAGATTTAGAAGTGATCTTATAGAGGTTTATAAAATCATGAGGAGTATAGATATGTTGAATGCAGGTGTCTATTCTCTAGGGTGGGGGATTTCAAGACTAGGGGGTATATTTTTAAGGTTAGAGAAGAAAGATTTTAAAAAGACATGAGGGGCAATTTTTTAAAAACACAGAGAGGGTTAGTGTGTGGAATGAACTTCCAGAGGAAGTGGTGGATGCAGGTACAGTTACAATGTTTGAAAGACATTTAGATAAGTACATGAATAAGAAATATTCACAGGAATATGTGCCGATCGCAGGCTGGTGGGACTGGTTTAATTTGGGTTTATGGTCAGCAAGGACTGGTTGGACTGAAAGGTCTGTTTCTATACTGTATGGCTTTATGACACCAAGACTATAAACCAAAGAAAAAGAAATTTTGTGGAAGCTTTGTCTTGCACTCATCAGGACAATTCACAAGAAATAGCAATGTAAAGGGAAAATGACATTTTATACTACGTGAATATATTTACACACACACAAAAAGATTTGACAAGATGCGTTTATTTCATTATTACTCAATTCTATAAGAAACAATAAGTTGTGAACAAAAATAAACTTCAATTTTATATCTCTAATTTCAGACAAGACAGATTTAAAACCTTGCTCCGGGGAAAAAATCAAGTTACGCTTTATAACACTGCTCTGTGCAGTACCTTTTGCAGCCACAAAAGGGCACCCAAACCCTACAGGATGAGAATTATTTAAAGCACTATGATTTTACTTTCTTTTCATGACTGGGTTTATTGTATTACTTTCACCAACACCATTTTTATTCCATAATAACGAACTGAAGGGGAAGATCATAGCCATATTGAACAGAACAGCTGTAAACGAGCAAGAAACAGTTTGGGATGGAAATGTCTTTTTTTGACAACCAATAGTTTTTAGGGATCTGTATCTTGTTCCATCTGATTAATGGCAGTCAGTCCAGTCACAGTCTTCCCAGATTTGCAGAGGACTTTGGAGACAGAAATTGTGCCTTATGGACAAATGGAGATTTTATTTCTTGCTGTGATTTTTCCAACTTACAGTCATTGACACCATCCATTTACCAGAAAAATGCTCCCCAAGGTATGAGGAAGAAAATCAGGTAGCCAGTGTGAGCAGGGGACTACAAGCTTGCTGCACTAGGATAGGGGGTGGGGGGGATTAAAAGGGAGAGGGGGAAACAGGTGAGGACAGAACAGGGGATAGGCCAGAGTTTGGGAAATGGAATAAAAGAGCACACTTGAGAGGAGAAAAACAAACAGATGGGGACTGGGGATTTCAGCACCTACAATGATTAATTTCATAGAGTCATAGAGCTGTACAGCACAGAAAGAGACCCTTCAGTCCAACTCATCCATGCTGACCAGATATCCTAAATTAATCTCATCCCATTTGCCAGCATTTGGCCCATATCCCTCTAAACCCTTCCTACTCATATAACCATCCAGATTTTAAATGTTGTAATTGTACCAGCCTCCACCACTTCCTCTGGCAGCTCATTCCATACACACACCACCCTCTGCGTGAATAAGTTACCCCTTAGGTCCCTATTATTTCTTTCCCCTCTCACCTTAAACCTACGCCCTCTAGTTTTGGACTTCCCTATCCTGGGAAAAATAACTTGACTATTCACCCTATCCACACCCCTCATGATCTTATAAACCTCAATTAGGTCATCCCTCAGCCTCCGACGCTCCAGGGAAAATAGACCCGGCTTATTCAGCCTCTCTCTATAACCCAAACCCTCCAACCCCAGCAACATCCTTATAAATCTTTTCTGCACCCTTTCAAATTGAAAAATATCTTTCCTGCAGCAGGGAGACCAAAAGTGAATGCCAAGTTTCAGTAGAAAGGTCTATAAAAAGGGGAAGCAGAAAAACGCCCACTGGTAGAGTGCCTGTATAGACTATACATGGAGATTAGTGCCAACTTCACACACAAAGGGAGTCTGTACACCCACTAATTCAGCTCCTCCATAAGAAAATAACCAGTTGGGCAAGTTCCCAGTGTCCTTACCAATGCACCACACTTTCCACAAGCATTTTACCAGGGTGGGGATGGGTGAAAGACATCATGTAATGCTGTGGGGGTTAAATGACTGGTCACTTAATTTAAAAAGTTGATGCAACAGCAGATCCATATCCCAGTCCTAAACATTCAATTGCCTGTCTTTTGGGTTGGATAGACACAGCTTATAGACTATTCCTACCAGAAACAGATAGATGGGGTGAATCCCAATTGTAGCTTAAATAATAAAAAGATACCATTTTCTATTCCCATTTATTTCCCCAGCACTGTCCATAAAAGCTAATTAATGGGTATTAACTTACCCTTCCATCGTGCGTTAAAAGAATGGAGTCACTCTTAATGTCTCTGTGAATAACACCCTGCGCATGTAGAACAGCCAACCCCTTCAAAACAGACAGGCAAACAGTTGCTATCTGCTCCTCATTCATCCTGTAGGACAGAATTTAACATTCATCAGGTTAATTGCTGCCTGTAACCTTCAGGAGGAAAGTACTCCAAACCAATTTTAATTTTTAGTTACAACAAAAAGATAAAGAGACGTTATAAAACGTTTTGCTGCTGCCAATACTGAAGGGGTCTTGTGGCTCAGTGGCATTGTCCCTAACTCTGGGCCAGGAGATATGGGGTCCAAACCCACCTGTTCCAGAGATATGAAATAGCAGGCCGATTAGAAAAAGCACCCGAAAATGGGCTGCAAGTTTAAGTGGAAAAGGCTAAAATTTTACTAGAAAGAGAACACATAATTGTCCAAAATTTAACTCATTTTTAATATAAATGGAATCATTTTAGCTTAAAACTTCCACTTCACTGTGTGTCCTATACTGTCCAATATACATGTTTGAATAACACCTTCATATATCAGTGCTGCACATTATTTCTGGAATGCAGTAACCATGTTTGTGGGCGTATGATTTTAGAACAAATTCTTTTGAGTGTAGCAACCTTTCTTCCTCCAGAGAATTGCAGATGACAGAGGCTGACGTTCGGCCTGTTTCGCCTGTGTTGACTTTGTCAATGGACTGCTCTGGCCATCAGTTTGTCGTTGCCTCATTGGTCTCTGGAGCTGCTCAGTTGAAACCAGCCAACTTGCTGCACATGTCACTCCAGCAACAACTTGGAACTGTGTGTGGTGACATCCCCATCTCCATCACATACCAACCGCCACCAGTGCTGTAGCCACCCCGCCCCCCAAAACAAACAATCAGAAGCTGTTTGCAGAAGTGATCACAGAAGCAAGTCACTGTTGCACCACAACTGCCATGTTACGCGTTTATCTGCTAGTGCCAACGTTGACCAGTTCTGCATTAAAACACCTTGCCAGTGATTGCTTCGATGGGTGATCCATACCTGGTATGTGTTACAATGTCAGTTAGTGCCCCTCCTTCCAGGAATTCCATCACCACCCACAGCTCGTCATCCACCAGGTAACTATTGTACATTTCCACCACATTTTCATGATGGTAGTCTCGCATTATAACAACCTGCAGAGAAACAAGAGGAAGGCATGTGTGAGACTGTCACTGCAAGGATGACATTGGTATTGCTCACGCAGAGAGCTCAGTTATAATCAAAACAGGCAATCTCCCTCATCAAGATTTATGTCTCATAAAACATTTTATAGCCAGATCGCCGTGCCATCCTCAATCTGTTTTGGGAGTGCCAGGCTCACATCTTTCAGTTTCAGTCAGACTGTGGCAGCCTTTTAAACGCGAGTTCCAACATGCATTCCAATATATTTCATTGATGCGAGTTGCTTACTAATAACCACAGAGAGCACAGTACTGGAATACATACTCTGGCACCAAAGGCCACAGTTGCAAAGTGTTTTGTGGCATTGGACAGCCAAGAGTTCAAACCTGACCCGAAATTTGCAAAACAGAAACTCCACAAATCTGGTTTTTGGGGTAGGAAAATTCCAGTCTGAGTAAAGGGGCTTTAACGAGTACAGTACAGAAACAGTATTCAGCCCATATAGTCAACATTAATGCTATGCATGAGTCTTGTCCACTCTCTACTTCACCTGCCTTCATAGATTTAACTAGAATTGCGACTCAACTTACTGCCATTGGGATAAGTTCCAGCTTCCAACCACTCTGAATATAGATGCTTTCCCTGAATTCCTTATTCTTAATGTCTTCTGGAGGTGACCTAGCAAGCTGCTCAGTTGCTTGAAAAAGAAACCGAAGGTACCAATACTCCAGGCCTGCAATATACAACATAGATATATGCAGACGGCAGAAACGCATTGTCACCTTCTCAACAGGATTTGGAAACTGGGCAATAAATGCCAGTGATTGCACACATTCTGTGCACAAAGTATCTTTTAAAAATATTACGGTCATTCTGGTGGGCAATCAGGGTCTTGCAACCATTCACCAGTAACCTTCAAGAACAGTTTGTGTTGAGGAGCTTTTGGTTTGCGAGTCACTGCTACAACTACAGTTGGGCTATATGCAGCTGTTGCGGCCAGGCCTACTCTGCTATCAGTCATGGCTTTCACAAGTAAACACCAGACTCAGCACAACTGTATTTATCATTTTGGAACTCCAAACAAAGTGACTGCAAAGTAAATGCTTAACCCAGCCCCCATTCCTCTCTACTACATTTAGCTTTTCTTAAAAAAAACTCAACTCTGCAGTTTAAATTCCCACAGGGATGGCCACTTCTTACGAAGCTGGTTTCTCTTGCGCCACTACAGTCCCCGAGCTGGGCCCCCCGATGATGCTCATTAATAATGCCTGAGCACCACATACTCATTATCTACGGTAAGATCAGTCAAAGTTCACAATGGGGCCTAACGGAATTAACAAGACCAATTTATGTGGAGGCCACATCACCTTAACGGTAGGAAATTATTTCATATTGCCGTGATTCAGATCATTTCAGGAGAAACCTCTGCCCAACTGCCTTGGGGTCAGCCAGTAAATATACCAGGCAGCAGAAATATTTCAGGTTCAATTAAGGTCTGCACTGAGCTAATTACCGCAAAAGGAGGCATTAATAAGGGGTGCTTCCAGCAAAATTTAGGCTGGGGCAGGGTGGAAGAGAGAGTGAATCAATTGCAATTCCCTTTCCCGCTCAAAATCCAGCGATCCCTGCGCCAGAAAGAGCATGGGGATTTAGCTAGGCAGTGATTCTCCCACACTCAAAGAGCCCACAAATTCTCATCACTTAAGTTCACAAATTGCGATTTGAATTAAGCTCTGGTTCTCACCCAACCCTTGACCCACCTCACCAACACTGGCAGGAAAACACCGAGCTGGGGGCAGGAGCAACATGGATTTGAAACTAGCTGACTGATAGGAAACAGAATTGTGGTTAGTTACATTTTCAGGCCAGAGGAAGATTTATTGTGGAATCCTCCAGGGGTCAACGTTGGGACCTTTACTTTTGCCGATGTACATTAATGGCCTAGTGTATACAGCACAATTTCAGAATTGTAGAGGTTATAAAACTTAGAAGTGTTGAGAATTGAGAGAAGGATAACATAGAACTTCAAAAGCATACAGACAGGATGGTGGAATGGCCACAAAGACTATTTTTAAAATTCATTCATGGGATGAGGGCATCACTTGTCAGGCCAGAATTTATTGCCCAGATGGCAGTTAAGAGTCAACCACATTGCTGTGGGTCTGGAGTCACATGTAGGCCAAGCCAGGTAAAGATGGCAGTTTCCTTTCCCAAAGGGCATTAGTGACCGAGTTGGGTTTTTCCAACATCAGCAATGGATCTATGGTCATCATTAGCTTCTTCATTCTCGGTCTTTATTGTATTCAAATTTCGCCATCTGCCATGACAGGATTCAAACTCAGGTCCTTAAAACATTATTTAGGTCCATGGATTAACAGTCCAGCATAATACCAATAGGCCATCGGCTCCCCTTGAAGTGGCAGATGAAGTTTAATGCGGAGAAATGAGGGGTGATTCATCTTTATCGAAGAACATGCAAGGACAACATGAAATAAAAGAGCACCTTTAAAAGGGGGTTCAGGAACAAAGGGATCTGGGTGTAGATGTACAGAAATCATTGAAGGTGAAAGGACAGGTTGAGAAAGCAGTTAATAAAGTGTACAATATTCTAGACTGTATTAACAGAGTACAAAGGCAAGGTGATCATGTCGTATGTGTGGAAGACAATCATTTGGCCTCAGCTGGAGTACTGCATTCATTGCTTGGTGCTGCACTTTGGGAAGGATGTGAAGGCATTAGAGAAGGTACAGACAAAATTCACAAGAATGATTCCAGGCATGGGGAACCTTACTTATATGGAGTCAGGACTGTTTTTCTTGAAGAAAAGTCAAAAAGGGTCTGAACACAATAGATCAGGAGAATCAGTTTCCACTCATAGAATCCCTACAGTGTGGAAGCAGGCCATTCGGCCCATTGAGTCCACACCAACCCTCCGGAGATCATCCCACCCAGACCCATCTGCTCTACCCGATCCCTGTAACCCTGCATTTCCCATGGCTAATCCACCTGGCCCACACATTCCTCAACAATTTAGCATGGCTAATCCACCAAATCTGCACATCTTTAGACTGTGGGAGGAAACCCATGCAGACACGGGGAGAACATGCAAACTCCACACAGACAGTTGCCCGAGGGTGGAACTAAACCTGGGTCCCTTGCGCTGTGAGGCAGCAGGGCTAACCACTGAGCCACCTCTTATGAATGGATCAAGAATGAGATTTAAAGCAATTGACAGAAGAAGTAAAAATGATATTAAAAAAAGCTTAATCAAAGAGTGAATGGTTAGGGTCTAGAATGCACTGCCAGAGTGTTCAATCGAGGCATTGAAAATAGAACTCCACTGTTATTTGGTGCAGGTTTACAGGGAGAAGGCAGAAGAATGGCATTAAGCAAACTGCATCTTACAGAGAGGCTGGAGACATTATGGACAGGGTGGCTGTTTCCTGCATCGTTGCAATTCTGTGATTCTGTGAACTACTGCAGGAGAGATTAAAAAAAAAGTAAAGTATTGGGGAATCCTTCCTGCAATTCACTTAAAACTGAAGTCATGATGCAGGTTAGTGAGACAAACCTGCTGAGTTTCTCCAGCATTTTCTGTGTTTGTTTCAGATTTCCAGCATCTGCAGTATTTTGCTTTTACTAACACATTTTGCCTCCAAATGCAAGTATTCCTCATGCTTTCTAATGTGAAGACCATGTTATATATTGGAAATGGGCTTCAAGTATGAATAGCTGATGATTACCAGTGTACAGAGATCTTAGTGCCCACATTACCTCATTGAACAGCAGCTCTCGCCTCTGCTGTTTCCGCAAGTCCATTTTCTTCACAGCGACCAGCTGTCCTGTGCTCTTCACAGTGGCAATGCAGACAATCCCTGTTGACCCTTCGCCAATTTTAATAAAATTTTCCAGGTATGTTCTTGGGTCGCCAGGGTCCACCACCATCTGGAGAGCTGCCTTGAACTGCTGGTGGGACACCCGCTGTGGCTCACGCTGGGGCGACCTTGACTCGAGTCCCTGGGGCTGTGCTGGGTACGGAGCCTGAGAGTTCGGCTGCGCCACACGTGGCAAGTGTGTGTCAGAGGAATGAGGAACCAAGCCCTGGTGTGGCGGCTCAGAATGGCCCGGCCTATATTGACCGTGCTGTGCTTTACTCGTGTGACCCAAAGCCGGGTTGGGCCCATTGTGTCGGACATCATGAGGCATTCCCACTCGATGATCAACCTTAACAGCAGAGGGGGAGAAAAGGAGATGGTCAAATTGTTTACACTAGGACACATGTATCGTCCCTTTTTGACTTTCACGGAAGTCTCCTCAACTTCAGCCTCAGTTAAGTCACCACCTTAATGATCAACATTAACAATCATTATGGAATTCAACATATTGGTATCAGTATGGGAGAAATGCTCCCTGCAGTCACACAGTCACAAAGCAACTTAGAACACTGAACTGCTTGACACAAAGAGACTGGAAGGGACAAGCAATTAAAATATTCTTGCAAGTCAATTTTCAGTGGTGACCCAGCCCACTTCCTATGTGACACACTCAACTCATGACACAAAACTGCCTTCACTGATGATCTGTAATTATCAGTTACCACTGCAGAGTTAATATTATACAGAGCTCTCTATCATATCCCTTTATGCTCTATTGTAAGGTACGCAGACATATCCCTGCATGTGATTAATCACTTAACTAATGCAGATTGTTGCTTTACAACATTGGATGCTCCGAGTTTCTCAGCTCAAATTGTTGCTCTTGGTTCTCTCTTATCATCTGTGTCAAACCAGGAACCATCAGTACCTCACCTCAAAATTACATGGTTCAAAATTAGATAATAGATCCCAAGCCAGATGAAGAATGACATTAGATGTAAATTCTTTCCTTGACTATTCCTTTACTGAGACATCAGGTATGTCCGCCTCTTACCTACCAAGCCAGCTGTCCCTCTTTGTAAGTACTAAGATATTTTCTAAGCAACCTGTTCATAGATGTTATGAACCCAGACCTCCTGGGCCAGACACTTATCACTGCACCACAAGAGCTCTCATGATATTTTAAATCGACCAGCTCAGATTATGTTACGACACTTCTCTGGAGGAGGTGGGACCTGAATCCGAGCTTCCTGGTTCAGAGGTAAAGGCACTAACACTATGCCATAAGAGCCTCCAAAAGTTGTCAAGAGTCCTTCACCCAAGGATCTTAATATAATTAATATTAACAAACACTATTAGGAAAGGGAAAATTTTGTAACGTACTTCAGAATAAAGTGGAAATTATAGAATTTAACAAAATTTTAGTGACCACTGTATGATCTCTGCCAAACAAATCAATCCTTTCTCTGCATTGCCATACAACCCTGATCGTCAATGGTTCAGCGTAAAATATATAGTCATGATAGAAATGGCCTGGGGGATATGCATCACATCTCATTCCAACATCAATGCCATGAGGCAGGAGAGTTCATGTGGAAACACAGATACATGCCAGCCCTGCTCCATTGTGTCTAATCCCACATCCAACGCCATCTCCGTTTGTGATTCCCAGTGCATCACAGGATCATAGAGAAGGAAGGGTAGATTGCTCCAGTTGTGCCTCTAGACTGTTGTAGAGTCTTACAGCACAGGAAGAGGCCATTCAGCCCCATTTTCCTGGTCTGGCTTTCTGGCATCTTCTAGACTGTGCACCGCGACATGGTCAAATAGGGACAGAATGGAGAGGGCAGGATCACCAGAAATGGTCACACGCCTAGACCTGTCTGGTTCAGACATAACCTTCGAGTGGATGGTTCACCTGCATAACTAAGGTGAAGAACTGGGATGTTAATCAGAAAGAAAGCTTTAAAGCAATGTCAAAAACACACTTACCCTTGTAGAGTTCACACCCTTGACATTCTGATACACAAGGTTTTTGTTTTTAAAAAGAAATTGCAAAGACCGTACATCTCAAAGGTCCAACTATAAACAGAACAAAACCATTATTCCTAAAACCTAAAGCCACTTAGCTCACTGCCTTCACTATATCTTCTGGTCCACACCAACGAACAATTCAACAAGGCTCAAATTCTACTTTACCTGATCTTAACTTCATTCAAATACTCAAATGTCCCAAAACCTATCAAACTCCCTGTCTGGAATATATTCATCGCTGTGCATTCACAGCCCTCTGAGGTAGAGAGGGCACAAGACTCACAAACCCGAGTGAAAAAAATCATCTCAGTCCTAAATAGCCAACACTGCATATTGTGACCACAAACCCTGCCCCAATTCTAGAATCACCAGCTTCTCAAACCCACTAAAAATTTTCTATGCCTCAAGAAGTCACTTCTCATTTTACTTAATTTCTCCTCACAGGACTGTGCACTTGTCAGGGAGAGAGAGGCAGGGAGAGAGAGGCAGGGAGAGAAAAAAAAGGGGGAAAAAGAGGCGGGGGAGGGGGGAAAGAGCGAGAGCAAGAGCGCAAGCGAGAGCGAGAGCGCGAGCGAGAGCGCAAGCGAGAGCGCAAGCGAGAGCGAGAGCGAGAGCGCGAGCGCAAGCGAGAGCGAGAGCGCAAGCGAGAGCGAGAGCGAGAGCGAGAGCGCAAGCGAGAGCGAGAGCGAGAGCGCAAGCGAGAGCGAGAGCAAGAGCGAGAGCGAGAGCAAGAGCGAGAGCAAGAGCGAGAGCAAGAGCGAGAGCAAGAGCGAGAGCCAGAATGAGCAAGAGAGCCAGAATGAGCAAGAGAGAGCACAAGAGACAGCATGCCAGAAACAACAAAAAGAGAGCGCACCAAAAAGAATGAAAGAGATAGAAGCGAGCCAGAGAGGAAGGATGCAGTTACTGCAGCTGACTAACTTATAGCGAGTGACTCCATTAACTACTTCCATATCTGCCACCCTATCCTAAATGTCATTTCGGGCTCTCAATTCTCAGAGCTCACATTGACCTGCATTCATCAAAATGATGTGTTGCCAAAGCTTGCCGTAGACAAATCTAATTATGTACCGTATCTGATAACATTTTCTTATTGAAATATTAACCATCAGTATAAATCTTCAACTTACATTAAATGCTCTGATGTCACAGCAGCGTGTCATAAAGCAGTTTAACTGCTTGAAGCTTTTAACAGACCAAACGTGACAGATACTCCCCACAGAAAAAGTCAATCCTCCCACCTCATGCCACTTACTTGGGGTGACAAGACTGATAACACTCAAAGCCCTGGCTTAAACACGACGCTGCACTACATGTACACTGCTTATATTTTTCTTCAATAGTATTCCAAAACTCATGACCTCCACCATCTAGAAGACGAGGGCAGCAAGGACAGGGGAACACAACCACTTGCTGGTTCCCAGAGTTCCAAGCCAGGCTGGCTTGGAACTATTGCCCCTTTGCTTCACTGTTGCTGGGTCAAAATCCTGGAGCTTTGCCACCACCACCCCACTGTCCCAGTAGCTGAGAGCGGTCCAACAACAACACACACTGCAGCAGTTCAAGGCAGCAGCTCACCGTCTCATCAGCAGTTCAGCATGGGTCATACGTGTTAGCCTTGTCCGTGATACACACCCCATGATAACAACAAACATGTCGAGGTTTTACAGGTCGTTGGCGATGCCTCTTCTGGAATACCGTGTCCAGTTCTGGTCATTCAATTATAGGAAGGATATTATTAAGCTAGAGAGGGTTCAGAAGAGATTTACCAAGGTTTTGCTGGGGATGAGATGTCTGAGTTACAAAGAAAGGCTGGCTAGGCTGGAACTTCTTTCACTGGAGCGTAGGAGTTTAAGAGGTGACCTTATAGAGGTTGATAAAATCATGAGGGCTATAGATGGGGTTAATGGTAGGTTTTTTTTTCCCTTGGACGGGGAAATTTCAAGACTAGGCGGCATATTTTTAAGGTGAGAGGTGGGAGATTTAAGACAGACATGTGGGGCCAGCTTTATTTTCCAGAGGGTGGCTCACATGTGAAATGAACTGCCTGAGGAAGTGGTGGATGTGGGCATAGTTATGTTTAAAAGACATTTGGATAAGTACATGAATAGAAAAGGTTTGGAGGGATATGGGCCAGGAGCAGGCAGATGGGACTAGTTTAATTTGGGATGTTTGGCATGGATGGGCTGGACCAAAGGGACTGTTTCCCTGATGTACGTATCTTAGGTGGAAGATCGGAGGCTGTTAACGCTCCCCATGCTGCTCTCAAGGCCGGATCCCACATGATATTGGCAGGTGCTGCAGGGTCAGCACTGGGAAACACAAAAAGGGTGCCTGCCACACGATTTAAACAAAACATCACCCTACAAGTTCTGGACTTGGCAGAGGCAGGCTACAATGATCAAAATGTAAACCCCCACCCTTTAAGATAAAAATGCAGGTCTTACTATAGCTCAATAGTTGCACATGGGAAGAAAGAGAATTGAAGACAGTTAACTTCTCTGTTATAGAAGTTCTGCAATTAGGTAATCACAAATGAGCAAGATGCACTTATTCCAAGAGTTCCCACAGCAGCACCAGTGTGGATGCTAGGCTGAATACTGAAAAGTACATTATCAAACAGACTTGTGTTACTGTTCACGGCTAATCATGAAAACCAGATGCCTTATGCCATGCATGGAGACCGGATACAATTAAGAAAAGTAAACAGCAAAATAATTGTAGCATTCCCAAAGACAGTGCCCACGTTATTATAAACAACATGGCATTTTCTAGAGATCATAGCAGATTCAAAAACATAAGTGAAAAGTTACATGCAGTTTTGTAAACTACACACCTGTCTGGGAGGCCTCCCCTTACAATTGTACTCAAAGGAATAGGAGGAAGCTATTTGGCCCTTCAACTGGTTCAATAAGATCATGGCTGATCTTAAACTGTATCTTAAACCATCAAGCCACCTTGGGCTCCAGTTGAGTTGTAAAATGCTTACTTAGCAAAAACTAATCAATCTCTGAGTTTTGAAATTTTCAACTAGCCCCTAGCCTCAGCAGCTTTTTAGGGGAGGGATCTCCACAATCCTTTGTGAAATACTGCTTCCTGACATCATCCCCATCTCAAATTTTAAGATTACGCAACATCTTCTGCATTCAGTCAACAGAGGAAATAGTTTCTCTCCATCTACCCTATCAAATCCTTTAATCAGTTTAAACAATTAGATGATCCCTTAATCTTCTGTAGTTCAGGGAATTCAAACTCATTGACATGCAACCTCTCCTTGAACTGGAACCCTTTTGTCAGTCTTAGAATCAAAAATACTGAAACTGCGCCACATTCCCTTGAAACAAACAGCATCCAGTCAGAACTGGGTGCTCTAAATGGGTCCTAAACAGAGCTTTATGCAATTATCACAGAAATTCCAACCATTTGCATATTATAATCTCCTTCAGCCAAAGGTCAACATTGCATTAGCCATTTAAATTATTGTTTTTGTACCTGTGATTTTGGTACACAGTACACAATTTGTCGTTTCTCCCCAATTTGGAATTAACTCTGACCAAGCTCGCTTGGTCCAAAGTGTGTACATTTCTGCCTACTTACTTTGACTAATTGCTCACCAGAGCTTTAGCAAAGAGAGGAGCACGTGGGTTACAGACCTGACTGCTGGTGCCTCTGCCTGCTCCTGTCTCAGCCATTGGGTAAGTGTTGAAAGGTCTTCCTGTCTGGTGCACAGTCTTCATCGCTCCATCTCCACCAGGAGCATTTGACGGACGGATGTTTGGGCCAGAAAGGGGTCGCTTGTCCCTTGGAGACTGCGGGCTGTTCTTGCCTGTGTACTTAGATTTCGGCCTCTTGTCGGAGCTTTCGTTTTTCTCTCGCTTCGACGTGCGTTCCTGAGAGTTTGTAGGCTCGCTGAAACCGACATGGTTTCCTTCCCGATCGCCCGGTTGGTCTCTCCTGCCATCTGCCTTGTCGTGTGGTTTGCTCTTGCTGTCAGGATGCTTGTGGTGATCAGGGCGGGCCTCCCTGCTGTTATGATGGTTGGGCCTGCTCCCCCCAGTCCTGCTTGGCTCCTGCCCCCTGGGCTGCTGTGGGTGAGCCCGGCTGTCTGCCCGCTCTGCATTCCGGTTCTTTTGCCTATCGTCCCTGCCTTGGTCGCGCTCATCCCGGGATCCTGGCTTGCCCCTCTCACTTCGCCCCTTGTGTTCATGATGCCTGTCTAGTTCAGCGGGGTAGGTGCCCTTGGGTGGGGTCTCGTGCACTCCATTCTTGTGCATTCCATCTTGTGTGGGTTCTTGACAGAGTAGAGATGGTGGACTTCCTCGCCGCAGGGAGTTGGAACGCGTTACGGAAACATTCTCAAATTCATCCAAAAGCCAATTCAGAGAGCCATCAATTCCAATTTTGCTTCCTCGGACAATGGCCTGAAACAATAGAAAAGAATGAGTCGACTCTAAATCAGAGAGGCCAGAGAGAAATATTCAGTGAGGAACTATTTACGGAGGTAAGAATTACAGTCACACAGCATGGAAACGGACCCGTTGGTCCAACCAGTCCATGCCAACCATGTTCCCAAACTTTAAAAAAAAAAGCGAGAAAACTACAGGTGCTGTAAATCGGAAACAAAAACAGAAATTGTTGGAAAAGCTCAGCAGGTCTGCAGCATCAGTGGAGAGAAATCAGAATTAACGTTTCGAGCCCGGTAACCCTTCCTCTGAGGCCCAAAACACCAATTCTGATTTCTCTTCACAGATGCTGCCAGAACTGCTAACCTTTTCCAGCAACTTCTATTCAAGTTTCCAAACTAAATTAGTCCCACCTGCCTGCGCTTGGCCCATATTCTCTCTAAACATTTTCTATTCATTAATTGATCCAAATGTCTTTTGAATGTTGTAACTGTGCCTGCATCCACCACTTCCTGTGGCAGTTCATTCCACACACGAACCACTCTGCCCCTCATGTCCTTTTTAAATTTTTCTCCCAACACCTTAAAAATATGCCCCCTCACTCTAGGAAAAAGATTCTTTTCATTTACCTTATCTATGCCCCTCATGATTTTATAAACTTCTGTAAGGTCATCCCTCAACCTCCTATGCTCCAGTCAAAAAAGTGCCAGTTTATTTTTGTATCTCAAACCCTCCCATTCACAGCAACATCCTGATAAATCTTTTCTGAACCCTCTTCAGTTTAATAATATACGTCCTATAAAAGGGCGACCAGAACTGCACAACGTTCTATACAACCTCAACATGATGTAATAAAGCTCTAAATGTCCACAGCTCATTGGGTGAAATTCCTATCTCAGGATTAGGAGGTCATGGATTTAAGGCTCACCCGACAGATACAAGTAGATAATCTGACAACGCAGTGATGTATGGGGAAATAAAAGCAAAATACAGTGCAGAGCAGGTGTCATATCAGACCCAAAATATTAACTCTGTTCCTCTCTCCATAGGTGCTACCAGACTGCAGTTTCTCCAACACTTTCTGCTTTTAAATATTGAAGAAAGGTTGCATTGTTGGAAGTGTTATGTTCAAGAGGAAATTGGATGAGGTGCTAAATTGAGACACTATTGGCCTTTTCAGGTCTAAGCATTTGAATAGCAGAACAATATTCTGATGTTAGGGCCAAATTCCTCCTTAAACTCACTCACTGAAGCTCTCATGGCTGCGGGAACAACTGTTTCCATGCTGTATGACTCTATGACTGTAACTAAGTCAGCATGTTGTTTTGCACCTCTGGGTAGGAAATGGAGTTTCAATTTGCCCCTGAATAGCTTCTGTGCAATCTGAGCACATAACCCCTAGAAAAATGGAACAGATACAGAAAAATATCAAACACCAACTTTGGAACCCTGCAACAAACCATTGGGCTGTTCCAGCAAAGATGTCAATAATAAAGGAGCTAGCATGCTGTTGTATACAGTGCTCCTTAGGCTGAACCATTTAAAATCCACAGTTCGCACTTCGAATCCATTCAATGGAAGCTTTAAAAAAAAAAAGCCCAAATGCATTTAAAATAACCGCCAGCAGAAATGAATTGAAACATTTAGCAGAATCAATAGAACGTAATATAGAAACAGGGTGTCAGGTGAACGGATCCCACCCAGTGCTTTTCTTGCTGAATCCCGGATTGCAATCCCAACATCCTATTCGGATGCATCACTACGTGGTTTGGCAACTGCTCTTTCCAAGACCACAAGAAACTACAGAGTGTCATGGACACAGCCCAGTCCATCACGCAAACCAGCCTTCCATCCACTGACTCCATCTATACTTCCCATTGCCTCGGGAAGGCAACTAATATAATAAAAGACCCATCCCACCCTGGTCATACGCTATTCCATCGGGCAGAAAATATTAAAGTTTGTATACACGTACAAATAAATTCAAGAACAGCCTCTTCCCCGCTGTCATTGTACTTCTGAACTGACCTCTCAAATTTTAAATTTAATGTTGTAGGGGTGCCGGTGTTGGACAGGGTGGACAAGGACAAAAATCACACATCACCAGGTTATAGTCCAACAGGTTTATTTGAAGATACAAGCTTTCGGAGTCATGATCCTTCTGCAACCGTAACATTGTGTTCTTCGCTCTGCTCTATAAACCTAATGCACTTTGTATGGAATGAGCTGCCTGCACTGCACACAAAACTTTTCACTCTTTCTTGGTACACAGTCTGTTTCCGTGTTCTATGACTCTACAGTCCAACCAGACCATGCCGAACATAATCCCACACCTGCATGCTCCTGGCCCATATCCCTCCAAACCTTTCCAACTCATGTGCCTATCAAAATGTCTTTTAAATGTTCTAACAATGCCCACATTCACTACTTCCTCAGGAAGTCCATTCCCATGCGAACCACCCTCTCTGTAAAAAGTTTGCCCCTCATCTTTTTTAAAATCTCTCCTTTCACCTTAAAAATTGTGGTCCTAGTCTTGAAATCCACTATCCTAGGGAAAAGGCAACTACCATTAACCCTATCTATACCCTTCAATTTTATGAACTTCTACAAGATCACCTCTCAACCTCCTACGCTCCAGTGGAAGAAGTTCCAGCCTTTCTTTATAACTCAAACCTTCCATACCTGGCAACATTCAAACAAATCTCTTCTAAACCCCCTCCAGCTTAATACTATCCTTCCTATAACTGGGAGGCCAGAACAGGACACAGTATTCCAGAAGACACCTCACCAAATGTCCTGTACAACCTCAACATAACGTCCCAATTCCTATACTCAAAGGACTGAGCAATGAAGAGAAGCGTGCTAAGTGCCTTTATAACAACCCTGTCGATATGTAATGCAAACTTTGAAGAATTATGTACCTGCACCCCTAGGTCTCTCTGTTCTACAACACTATCCAAGGCTCTACCGTTAATTGTATAAGCCCTACCCCTGTTTGTTTTATCACGTGACAATAACAAACTAAATCAATTATTCTTATGAACTCGACCTAGACCACTGTTTCTTTGATTTGCACTTTAAAACATTGGAGAGCAAAGGGAACTTAAGGCTGGTTGTGTTGCAGGTAGGGCCATGGGGACAATGCCTTGTCTCTTGGCAACAGGAGAAGGAAAATGGAGGAGATGCCTATAGTGAAGGAGAGGGGGAAGAGCAAGCGGTAAATAGGGGACAGCAGAGGAGGGAAATAAAATGTTATATACTCATTTACAATCTCAGTTCACTTCAGGTTAATCTTCAGTGATATGTTGTTGAGCCATTCATATATCCACTTCCCCCCACTTCAGATCAGGCCTTCTGACACTCCCCCAAGATACATTCATCCACCAGTAACTGTATAGAAACAGGCCAGGCTGCCCAATACACCAGGCTGGTGATTATGTTCTACATGAGCTTCCTGCCACCTTATTTCATCCAACACTGACGTAACCCGTTTATTTTTGGCACATGTACTTGGTTTCCAGCAGCAAGCCCGACATTCTATTTTCTCTCTCCCATAGGATAGAGAAAATAAAGTTCCTCCTGAATTGCCGAGTGGATTGATCAGTGACTATCCATTAATGGCTCCTGGGCTCTGGCTTCCTCCATAAGGAGAAACATCTTCCCTGCTATCAACCCAATCAAAACCCTTCATAATTTATAACAGGCCAATCAGACACTCTTCAGCCTTTTCCTTCTTAGACAAGAGAGCCCCATCCAATCTGCCTTTTCCTGGTGGTTACATCATCTGAGTTCTGGCATTTCATACAGTATGCTGGGCTGGTGTTAATT